ACCACATAAACAGAACCAAAGACAAAAACCACATGATTATCTCAATTGATGCAGAGAAGGCCTTTGACAAAATTCAACAGCCCTTTATGCTAAAAACACTCAATAAGCTAGGTATCAATGGAACGTATCTCAAAATAATAAAAGCTATTTATGACAAACCAACAGCCAATATCATACTGAATGGGCAAAAACTGGAAGCATTCCCCTTGAAATGTGGCACCAGACAAGGATGCCCGCTCTCACCACTGCTATTCAATATAGTATTAGAAGTTCTAGCCAGAGCAATCAGGCAAGAAAAAGAAATAAAGGGCATTCAAATAGGAAAGGAGGAAGTCAAATTGTCTTTATTTGCAGACGACATGATTGTATATCTAGAAGACCCCATCGTCTCAGCCCCAAACCTCCTGAAACTGATAAGCAAGTTCAGCAAAGTCTCAGGATACAAAATCAATGTGCAAAAATCAAATGCATGCCTATACACCAATAACAGACTTAAAGAGAGCCAAATCAAGAACAAACTTCCATTCACAATTGCCACAAAGAGAATAAAATACCTAGGAATACAACTAACAAGGAATGTAAAGGACCTCTTCAAGGAGAACTACAAGCCACTGCTCAACGAAATAAGAGAGGACACAAACAGATGGAGAAACATTCCATGTTCATGGTTAGGAAGAATCAATATCGTGAAAATGGCCATACTGCCCAAAGTAATTTACAGATTCAATGCTATCCCCATCAAGCTACCAATGACCTTCTTCGCAGAACTGGAAAAAACCACCTTAAACTTCATATGGAACCAAAAGAGAGCCCGCATAGCCAAGTCAATTCTAAGCAAAAAGAACAAAGCAGGGGGCATCACACTAACTATACTACAAGGCTACAGTAATCAAAACAGCATGGTACTGGTACCAAAACAGAGATATAGACCAATGGAACAGAACAGAGGTCTCGGAGGCAACACAACATATCTACAACCATCTGATCTTTGACAAACCAGACAAAAACAAGCAATGGGGAAAGGATTCCCTGTTCAATAAATGGTGTTGGGAAAGCTGGCTAGCCATGTGCAGAAAGCAGAAACTGGACCCCTTCCTGACACCTTACACGAAAATTAACTCCAGATGGATTAAAGACTTAAACATAAGACCTAACACCATAAAAACCCTAGAAGAAAATCTAGGCAAAACCATTCAGGACGTAGGTGTAGGCAAGGACTTCATGACCAAAACACCAAAAGCATTGACGACAAAAGCCAAAATAGACAAATGGGACCTAATCAAACTCCACAGCTTCTGCACAGCAAAAGAAACAATCATTAGAGTGAATCGGCAACCAACAGATTGGGAAAAAATTTTTGCAGTTTACCCATCTGACAAAGGGCTGATATCCAGAATTTACAAAGAACTAAAACAGATTTACAAGAAAAAAACTAACAAGCCCATTCAAAAGTGGGCAAAGGATATGAACAGACACTTTACAAAAGAAGACATACGTGAGGCCAACAAACATATGAAAAAATGCTCATCATCACTGGTCATCAGAGAAATGCAAATCAAAACTACATTGAGATACCATCTCACGCCGGTAAGAATGGCGAACATTAAAAAATCTGGAGACAGCAGATGCTGGAGAGGATGTGGAGAAATAGGAACACTTTTGCACTGTTGGTGGGAGTGTAAATTAGTTCAACCATTGTGGAAGACAGTGTGGCGATTCCTCAAGGACCTAGAAATAGAAATTCCATTTGACCCAGCAATCCCATTACTGGGTATATATCCAAAGGATTACAAATCGTTCTACTATAAGGACACGTGTACACGAATGTTCATTGCAGCACTGTTTACAATAGCAAGGACCTGGAACCAACCCAAATGCCCATCGACGATAGACTGGATAGGGAAAATGTGGCACATATACACCATGGAATATTATGCAGCCATCAAAAACGATGAGTTTGGGTCCTTTGTGGGGACATGGATGAACCTGGAAACCATCATTCTCAGCAAACTGACAGAAGAGCAGAAGATCAAACACCGCATGTTCTCACTCATAGGCGGGTGTTGAACGATGAGAGCACATGGACACAGGGAGGGGAGCACTACACACTGGGGTCAGTTGGGGGGAAATAGGAGAGGGATGGTGGGGGGTGGGAAGCTGGGGAGGGATAGCAGGGGGAGAAATGCCAGATGTAGGTGATGGGGAGGAAGGCAGCAAATCACACTGCCACGTGTGTTCCTATGCAACAATTTTGCATGTTCTTCACATGTACCCCAAAACCTAAAATGCAATAAAATAAATAAAGGGAAAAAAAAAAAAAAAAAACGCTTGGACGTAATGCTTTTCAGCTTCCCAAGATCATAAACAGAAGCAGCCTGTTCAGAGCATAGCTCCTGGTGTTTCTCTGTGCACAAACAAACAGCTCTGTTTGGAGCCGGTCTTCTTGGAGCTGGCCTCTGCCTCCACTGCTCCTGGAGCTCACTTCTGTGGAAAACTGCACATACCCTGGCATGTTCTCTGATCTTGTGACTAGAAATCAAGAGCCCCAGCCAGCTTAGCTGCAGGTTTTGACAACAATTCAGCTGCCAAAATGGCAGAACTAAGTGTTCATGATTACAAATTTGAAACCACCTTTGCAAAAATTGTAACTGAGAAAATTATGACAGTGAAAGAGGGCTGATCTGACTTCATCTCACTTTTAACTTCCAAGCTGTCCTTGTTCATTCCTACGCAGAGGCCAAATTAACTTTGGAAGGAACTTAGTTTGTAGTTGAACTTTAAAACAAAGATGGTAACAATCCTTTCCCAAAACAAACCCTTTTCCCACCTGGGGACTAGATAGATGATCTTTCTAGAACTAATAAATTAACCACAAGATTAGAAACTGTGGCTTAGGAGTCATAAGGCTGAAGGCTGCAAGAATCTGAACCTCCCCGTATTGCTCCTGGGAATACCATCACTATTGTAAAACCTAAAACCAGTGCTTGAGATATTTTGTAGACCCTGTACTGGGATTAAGTGGCACCACCCCAACAAATAAACGTGGCTCATATGGTTCTGTGGCCCCCACCCAGGAGCCAACTCAATGCAGGAGGACAGCTTCAACTCCCTATGATTTCATTGCTGACCTGACCAATCAGCACTCCCCACTTTCTTATTCTTTTAAAAAACCATCCCAGAGTTTTCAGAGAGACTAATTTGAGTAATAGTAAAACTCTGGTCTCCCGTACAGCTGTCTCTGCATGAATTCAACTTTCTCTATTGCAATTATCCTGTATTGATAAATCAGCTCTGGCTAGGCAGCAGGCAAGGAGAAATCAGGCAGTCACAAATCTTGCTTCCTTTGAGGGACCAGTTTGCAAATGGATGACTACGATTAAACTCACGTTAGCATTTGCAACTTTCAAAGTACTTCCATTTGTTTCAAATTCATTTGCTGTCACACTCTTTGCTAAAATGGCTACCACAAATATCACAATGATCACTTGGTTGATACTATTAGCAAAGTGGTGGCAAAAATGTTTTTTTTTTGTTTGTTTGTTTCTTAGAGAGAGTCTGGCTCCATCACCCAGGACTGGAGTGCAGTCACATGATCACAGCTCACTACAGCCTAAACTTACCAGGCTCAGGCAATTCTCCCACGTCAGACTCCCAAGTAGCTGGGACTACTACAGGCACCTGCCAACACACTCGGCTAATTAAAAAAAATTTTTTTGTATGGACAGCCTTCACTGTGTTACCCAGCAGGTCTGAACTCCTGTGCTCAAGCGATCCACTCGCCTCGGCCTCCTGAAGGGCTGGGATCACAGGCATGAGCCACTGAGCTGAGGCGTCAAGTGGTTATTTTTGAATGTAGATATATACACCCTGCAGTATATCTACAATATATGCTATATCTTCAATTGTAGACATACACTGAGGTGATTCTGAGTAACAGTCCTATCTGGAGTCACGGGCACAGATCACAAAACTAACTTGTGCCACTGCCTGGCATCATCTTTTCTGCTGCTGCTCAATGTAAACAAGAGCTGCTCACTCGTCTTGCACCAGATGCAGCCGACACAGCTGTCCTCACTGTCCAGTGGGCACCCAGGGCGGCTCTGCTGGAAATGCCCCCCTGCTCACCCTGCCTGCCTGCTTCAGGGCTCTTCACTTCACAGCAGTCATAAGGCCAAATTCGAAGGGAACCCTGGGGAAGCTGTGTTTCAGTGTCATGTTGGTGCATCTGGGAGGAACCCCATGACCCCGCAAGGCTCCCCGTACTCTCATAAACAGCTACTGGCCCCCAGCCTACTTCTGTGAATGTCTGAGTACCCAGGGAGTCTGTGAGTGTGGTGGGCATGGGGTGATACCCAGAAATGCTTCTCACACTGCGGGAGGTGAACGCGGAAACTTCTAACTCATCAGACTGATTTCCAAACACATGCAATGTTCCCAATGGGGATGAGCCAGGGCACAGAAATCTGTAGCTATTTAACATCATATCTCAAGGTTCCTATAAAAACAGATCTTCAGATGAAAGGCGGAGACAAGGACCAGCAAAAGCAAATACACAATGGGTGACTTAGGTTAAAGCTGTAACTTCTGCATAGTCCAGAGGCCTTAAGACCTTAACAGTGGCCAATTATTTCAAAGGCCAGATGTTTGCCCCTTGAAAGGCGACTGAAACTGGCAGGTGGCCTCTAAAACACTATAAAGATATTCACTGTACTGTGTCATTCTGACAGCACACTTGTAAGAGGTTTGCCAAAAAACAATCAGGAAAACACTTTTCGGTTTAACAGCCAGTTATTACAACAATAACACATCAAGACTTACCCATTAATGGTGGAAAATTTAAACTGTTATACCAAAGCTGGATAGATTGAAGTCTGTGGTCTTATGCCTATTTCCTTTATCGGCACAATGAAACCTATAAAGATATTTCTTGCAGTGATAACTTGGAGAGCAAATGAGGCATGGAAAATGATGACACAGTTTGCCAAAACCTTAAAACTCACATTGTCTCAACTGCAACATCCTTGGGATTCTGGCTGTCATCCACACTCCAGTGACGATGATTTCTCCAAACCTTAGAGGCCAGAAGCATGGCTCTGAGGAGAATTTGTTTCCAATTAGTAGGACAAAGATCGATGTTAGCATTAGTTAAAAGGTGTTCAATATACACCTGTAAAATAGAGCACTTGTCTTTGATTTCAGTTCTGTTTCACTGTGGTGATAAGAACATTTAAGAATGAAAGACTTCTGGTTTTGGCCAGAAAGTAAGTGCCCTTTATTCTTATGTTCGGCAGAGACTTTGCTCAGACAAAGTGAGAGGCCAAGTCACAGTCATAGTCAGATACCTCTGCAGCATACTCTGCCCATAGAAATTTCCGTGCCAATTTCATTCACAGGGATGTGAGCATGAAGGAAGGCACCTTCAGCACCTTCACACTCATGAAAGGCAGCACAAACACAGGCCTCGTGCAGATTAAGTTTGTTCAGGAAACACTACAGTGCCATCCGTGTGCAGCATCACACCTGGCTGGCAGGTAGATAGGAATTTTACAGGTGTGCCATGCTCGAATGTGTAGCACCCAAGTCATACTGAGAAGACTGCTGTCTTCTCCTTTTCACAATAACTAACCCACTCTTGGGACACAGGCTTAGGAACTGCGGGTCAAGAGTGTCTGCCAGTGCCTGCCAGGCAGACAGCATGACAAGGGCAGGTCTCTGTTGCTGAGAAGCAGTCCCTGTATTCAGTGCCTTGAGGAGGAATGCATGTGAATGAATGGAAGGTCCTGCTCACAGCCCCTATTTTCCATGTCTCCACAATCACTTCACGAAAACTTATTTCTTGTCCTACAGTATCTGCATTCAGTCAATTCTGTGGGTTTGAAGGCAGAGAGAGCTGCCGGCCTCTGCATCCTTGGGGTGCCTCTAAACCTGTCAAGCAGTTTGTGAGATAATCTCAGAAAGTATTTCAGAAAGTATTCTCTATCTATCCAATCTCTATCCTATAAAGAACTGGATGAGGGACCAGCTGAGTGAAGGTTACAGAGATAAGCTGTGAGGTGTTGCTACCTCAGAGGGTGCTCTGTAGAAGAGTATGACTCTATGCTACTTGAAGTCTTTGTATCAAGGTGAAAGGAAAACAGTTCATTTTAAGAGAGTTCATTTATTGTCTGAACATTATCAGATTGTCTGCTCAGATCTGGCAATGTTCTCCAAAGTCAACTGTGTTTTCCAAACCACATGGCCCTTGAACCTGACATATTCTTATGAGAGATGCTGCTCCCTTTCTCCAAAACTCTGCACTGTCAGGTATTCAAGGAATAACCCTCCCTCCCAGGGTTCAACTCCACAGGTCTCATTAGAGAGCACTGAAACAGCGCTGGCGAGCCCTCAACTTCCTGTCACCTTTACTGGTAAGCCAATGACCTGCTGACACTCATCGATATCACTTGCCCTCCTGGGTCAGTGAGAAAGTTCCTCTTTTAACATCGACTCTTCTATCAGCATGATGGATCCTATTCCACTTTTGCAGAACACTGTTTCCCAAATCACCTCTTCTTGAAGACTTTCTCCCTCTCTGCCAGAGATTTTCCCCAATACAAATGTGTTGCCTGTTCCCATCCTGCTCCCCCCATTTCCCCCAGGACATCCTCTCATTTGCTCATAGTGTCATGCCCTGGTGCCAGCTCCTCACCTCCCATCTCTCCTTAACCACCCCCCACCCCCATCACTCACCATAGACTCCTCTTGCTGAGGTCCCTGGAGCCTTCACACCCACAAACCAGAGCCCTTCACCCCCAGGCTCCACTTCCCAACCTGGCCCTAATCTTGTCCAGGGAATTGCCATTGGCCTAGCTCCTGGGGACTAATACTTACATGTGAGTTACCCTCCTCCAATCCGTATGCAATCCCTCTATGGCTACCTTCACTGATAGGCTGACTGCTTCAGATTCTGTGCCACCATGTGTCACAGCTCACCTGTAACAGTCTAGTTGCTTCTTAGTCCTCTTCTCTGCCCCACCCTCCTCACAACTATGGTCTACTCTCCCCAAAGCAGTTGGGATACCTCTAAATTAAGAACACTGCACTCCCCTGCTCAAGATCTACCATTAGTCCTCACTTCAAACTGGAATAAAACCTTAACTTCGTCCCCTGGTCTGCAAGCCAAAGGGCTCTGTGAACTATGGCACCGCCTATGCGGCCTCATGTTTTCCATTCTTTCCTTCATTTCTCTCACAGGCGGGCTCCCTGCTGTCTGTTCCTTGAACACACATGAAATGTGTTCCTGTCTCAGTCTTGGTACTCATCCCACTGCCTGTAATGCCAGCACTCCTTATCAGCCTCACTTTATAGTCAGGTCACTGCTCAGATGTGACTTCTCTAGAGAGGCTCTTCCTGATCATTCTACCTGAAACAGCGAGCCCCTCCCATTACTCTCTCTGTATCCTGCTTTATCATTTTGCTATTTGCCATTACCTAAAAAAAAAAAAATGCTTTCCTCATTAAAACAAACGCCTCATAAAGACAAGGACTGTGCTCGGCCTGTCCTCTTCCCTACCCCAGCACTTAGAAGAGTGGCACAGGTTTGGCATCCCAGGGGTGTTTATGCAATGGGCACCTTCTTGGCAGCATGTAGCACTGTGACCACAGCCTTTCCTATCGTGAACCCTTTGTTCTTACCATTTTTTCCTGCTCTTCCTCCTCCCACTCTGGCACTTTACTGGGGGTTTGTCCCTTACATGCTAGTAATCTTTACACAGCTATCTTTTATCCATCTTCTCTTTTTTTCCTTTTCCTGAGTAGCTGCGACTATAGGTGTGTCCCACCATGTCCGGCTTGTCCACTTTCATTCTAAACACTTTCTTTGCATTTGAGCAGCTAAGCTTTTTTCTTTTTTTCCCAGAGTTTTGCTGTCGTGCAGGGTGGAGGGCAGTGGTGCAATCTTGGCTCACTGCAACCTCTGCCTCCCAGGTTCCAAAGATTCTCCTGCCTCAGCCCCCCAAGTAATTGGGATTACAGGTGTCCACAACCATGCCCAGGTAATTTTTTATATTTTTTAGAAGAGACAGGGTTTCACCATGGTGGCCGAGCTGATCTCGAACTCCTAACCTCAGGTGATCCGCCTGACTTGGTCTCCCAAAGAGCTGGGATTACAGGCGTGAGCCATCGTGCCTCTTCTTGAGCAGCTACTCTTACTCTTCATTCCTTACCTCCAGCTCAGATTCATGCTCCAGTCCCATACATCCAAATGATGACTGCACTGCTCAGATTCATGCTGTTCCATAGATTCACATAATGACTGCACACGTCACTCTGCTATCTCACAGGCACACCAAATTTAGCCTGTATACGGTGAACTCCCCCTTCTTCCAATCCAGCTTTCCCTCCTGCATCAGCTCTCTCTCTCTACATCTGGAAGTACCACTCCTGCTTCCCTCCAGCATGTGCTGAGCATTCCCAATGGCTGCAGCTCCATTAAATGGCCTGCATCTGATCCAGTGCTCACGGACAGGTTTCTATGCAGGTGCCCAGCAGAAGCCTTCAACCCTGAGCTCTAGCCAGATGCTAAAGGAGAGGATACTGCTCTAAGTATCCTTTCTCTCCAGGCCGTGTGGTTGACATTCCTCTACAGGTTAGTGTGGGGAGGGGTCAAACAATCCCAGCCATCTGAACAGGACTTTATATTCAGGATGAGTCTCACCACAGGAATTCTGTGAGAACCATGTAGAGGTAAGGACACAGCTATGGCTTGGCAGGCCAACTAGCAAAGCCCATGTCCAAGTCTTACTGGTTCCATATTCCTGGGCAATTTCCCGAGCAGGCACAAGAAGTCACCAGGAACAACAAAGCATTCAGAGCAGCAGCTCCAGGTCAGAACTGTGGGGAAATACAGCCTGGAACTCAGCTTAGACCTACATTGGAATCTGTTGAGGGAGAAACCAGAAGTCTCTCCTGCTGCTTTTAGTAGCAATTATTCTGTGATAAGAAAAGCAATGGCATCATTTTAAAACATGACGATTAAACTCTAATATGTGTATTTACTTTGCTTGCATAGGTTTCTCTTAAAAGATCTCATGATAACTTTAGGAACTGACTTTTATATAGAAACACGGCCATACACTGTGTAGGAGACCAGTTATTAAAGATGCTTTATAGATAAGAAATAGCTTACCAATGCTACCATTGCACATGGAGCTGTTAGTTTTGTGACTTTAAACAGATTACAGAAATATCTGAAAATGCAGTTGCGTGTGGGATTATCCTCAGAGGATTTCCCTGGAATCTTTTCTTGCTGAAAGAAGAAAAAAGGCAATATAAATATTCATTCAAGAGAACTTCTTAAATACTCTTAAGATGGGAATGTTCAAATTTGTGCCCACATGTCCCTTACAATAATTTTGCTGGGATAAAATGTCTCTTAGTTCTAAAAATATAAACAGCTATTTTTGGTTTTCTGTGAACATAGGTGCTAAGGTGGCCCTGTGGCTCTCATATGCCTGAAGAAGGAAGTTTTTAAGTTTTCATAGCATTTAAACAAATTTAAATTTAAATTGTTTTCTAATTCTATTCACAGAGTTTGTGCATATTTGTTAGGACTACTTACAAATATTTATATTGTTTGCTGCTATAAAAATTATCTTTTAAAATGACACATTTTGTTATTTCGATGGTATGTTTATTCCCCTTAGCGCACAAATTAAACAAAGCTGTAAGTCAGCTCTTTCTCCAGTGTGTCCAATTTACAACACTCCTTACATAAGATGATTAGACACAACTTAGCGAAGACTTAATGGTGAATAATTTTGACTTCATCATGAAATTAACACAACTCTTTAAGACATAAACAGAACCTCAGAGAAAGTGACACTTACTGAAAGTGGATGTATTGGTTCATCAAAAATAGCCAGAGATCTATTTGCATATCTGTAAAAGACGAATGTGTATTTAAGAAATTAATTGCCGGGCGCGGTGGCTCACGCCTGTAATCCCAGCACTTTGGGAGGCCGAGGCGGGTGGATCACGAAGTCAAGAGATCGAGACCATCCTGGTCAACATGGTGAAACCCCGTCTCTACTAAAAATACAAAAAATCAGCTGGGCCTGGTGGCGCATGCCTGTAATCCCAGCTACTCAGGAGGCTGAGGCAGGAGAATTGCCTGAACCCAGGAGGCGGAGGTTGCGGTGAGCCGAGATCGCGCCATTGCACTCCAGCCTGGGTAACAAGAGCGAAACTCTGACACAAAAAAAAAAAAAAAAAAGAAAAAGAAATTCAGGAATTGTTACTATCTCAGTAAAGTATCTGCTGGGAGTAGGGTATGGAGGGTGGAGGGGGATACTTCTTGTTTGCTTTGGTAAAATTTGTTCACCAAAACGGTTGTTGCCAATTTTTCTCCTGGATCCCGGCCTTCAGAGGGTTTCTTGACCTCTTTTTCGTCAGCACATCATGTTCTGAACTGGGAAGTCTTTTCTACATTGACGAGCCAGGCTTGCCTTTAAGTGCTGACTCCTGCTAACAGGCAATGGTAATAAGCTATATCTATTTTTACTCCTCTAACCTCACGGTGAAACACAAGAACATTTTAGAAAGCAGTAGTTGTTGGCAATAAAGATTTTAGAAATTTTTAGAATCAATTAAGATTTCCCAAATCTTTCTTTATTATACTTTATGTTTGCTGAAGTAGTTTGAGTTACAGACTTAATTGCCTTTTTATTTTAAAAGAGGCCAGTCTTTAATGAACTTTAAAAACTAGCACATGATGTGATCATTTAGGAAACCAGTTGTTCTCCCAATGTGGTTTGTGGACCCCTGAGATTCCCTCGGAGACCCAGGATGTCGAAACTGGTTGTTGTTGTTGTTGTTACAGGGTTTTGCTCCTTCATCCAGGATGGAGCACAGTGGTACAAACCTGACTCACTGCAGGCTTGACTCCGTGGGCTCAAGCAATCCTCCTGCCTCAGCCTCCCAAATAGCTGGGACGAAATGTCCACACCACCATGCCCAGCTGATCTTTTTTTTTTTTTGATAGATGGGGTCTTGCCACATTGCCCAGGCTGGTCTCAAACACCTGATTCAAAGTAATTCTCCCACCTTGGCCTCCCAAAGTGCTGGGATTACAGGTGTCAACCACCATGTATGGCCCAAACTGTTCTTACAAGAATACTAATTCGACGTGAGAAGCTGATTGAAAATAAAACACACAAATAATTTATTACTTTTTAAAAGTATTAAGACATTGATTGCTTTCTCCCTGTTCAACACTTGTAATGACAGTTTAAAAGCAAAAGTGGGTAAAACTGATGGTTTCTCGGTATGAATAAGGGCAGTGGTACCAATTATACCAGTATTCATTCCACTCTTCACTGCCCCTTGCAGTTTTTATTAAAGTAGCATGTTTCACTGAAGGATGTCCTTGACGAAACAGTAAAAACTAATGGTGTTATTAAATCTTGACCGCTCTTTTTAGCATTCTAAGTAAAAAGTTAGAAAGTTCACATAAAGCGCTTCTGCATACTGAAGTATGGTCATGTTAAAGAAAAGCACTTGTGATTAAACTGTGAGCTGAACAAGCCAATTTTCCACAGAACACCATTTTTATCTGAAAGTATAACTGACTATTATCCATAAAATTAAGTCAAGTGAGTCTGTCATTTCAAGGAAAATAACAAGTATTTGTCTATAATAAAGCTAAAACTTTCAAGCTAAAAATCAGGACTTTGAAAACTCATACCTACTGCTGTGAGCTTGACAGCATCTCCACATTTGAGGACATTTTTATAATGGTGGTGATACTAATGAAAGTGAGTTTTTGACACTATAAATAAACCAAGTAGCCAATGCATAATATTGTAAAAGCCAGTAAGGGGAAAGATCCCTTTATTGTACAAGAAAGATCAGTGGCATTTAGTGAACAAATTCATTGATATGTACAATACCGCTACAACTATTTTAATCAGTTAGCACTTCTGGAGCTTTGGTGGGGTTAAAGAATACCCACAGTTACCTGAAAGCTTTAAAAATACACCTTTTTCCTACTGTATATTTGCGTGAGGCTAGGGCATCTTTTTACTGCTTCTTTACAAATAAATTGCAAACAAAGACATAAACAAATACACTTTGGAACCCTTAGTAATTTAAAAGAGTCTTACGGACCAAAAAACCCACAAATGATTCACTATAACACTGTAAAATAAGCACTCTACAGCTTATAATGTCGAGAGTTATGACCTGACAGCATGTTTCGTATGACACAAAATGATGAGCTGGAATAACAAGACAGGATTCAAAGAGCTCACCTGTGCTTGATGTTGTAATATATTGCCAAAGTCACACTGTGGAGGGAAAAAAAAATTGTAAGAACTGATTTTATCATTTGTTAGGCCTGAAGATATATTTCTAAAGTGGGGGGGGAGGGAACCCTCTCAGGGGCCCTGAAGTCCTCTATTCAAAACAGTACCATGTGAGCACTTTTGTTTTAGTCCTCTGGCTTTACAGCAAAAATAGGAGAACCAAAATGCTAGGCAATATGCTGTTCGAAGACTTGTGTCTGCAGATGGTTATTATGTATAAATAATGACATATTTTCCCTGACATTTGCTCTTCTGGCCATAGAACCTTTCATTCTGTGCAAGTTACTTATATCTGTGTGTACATATGCTTACATTTAGGCCAGACCGTAGTGTTTTGCTTTTTAAGTTGCTAGGCCCTGCATTTCGGCTGATTTAGTTCACCATCACCTACTTACCCATTTGTCATTGTTTCCCTAAAAGCACAGAATGAATGTGCTTTAACCAAATAAAGTAATTTAAAATCATCTATGCATGATTAGCAGAAAATTTATTAGTAAACATTATAATGCATCCAAAAATCGATGACACTTGTAGCTCTCCTAAAATAAGCAGTATTAAACACACAGTGTAACACCACATAATACAATGTTAATGACAGGTACTTCCACATTAGTTTAAACAAAATATGAATGAACAAATACAACTCTTTGGAGGTATGTTACTGTGTTCCAAAGTCATCCACAGATGTTGTGTGTCAGGAAACAGGGGCTTCTCTTTGATAAGTTCTGTCCTTCCATTTACCCTCAACATTTAAAATGAGGCTCAGAATAATTAGAGAAGGCAAATTGGAGTTGTAAAAAGTAGGCCTTACAACATTATTAGCATCTAAGATAGATATTTCTATAGTGCTTCCAACAGTTTCATCTCCAAATTTTAAGATCACAGAATTTTAAGTTACATGCTGAAAAGGACCACCGAACCTCACATGACACTCCATGCGCCACCCATTTTACAATTAAGAGAACCAAGGCTTAAAACTGATTTGCCCAAGGTCCCCGAACAGTGTTCCTGTAAACTGCAGGTGTTCACAAAACACTATGGTATGGTATAAATTGAAGCATATGCACACATAGATAGAAATGACTCGCACAGATGAAAGGCTTTATGGGTAGAAAGAAGAGCAAATGACAGGGAAAACATGTAATTTTTATATTAGAACCATCACTTTTTCACACAAAGGAAGAAGTAGCCTCCACATTTGCTGTACACTAGATCACTCAGGGAGCTTTAAATAGGGCCTCAATGTCAGCTGGAGACATTCTGATTTAATTGGTATTGAGTATGCTTTAGGCATCAGGGTTGTTGGTAAAGTTCCCCAGGCGATTCCAATGTGCAGCAAAGTTTGGGAATGACTGAATTAGGGTTAAGATCAGAATCATCTGGGATGCTTTTATCCATATAATGATGTCTCAGATACTTCCTCATTTTCCTAAAAGGCTTGTGATTGCCCAGAGTTGGAGGGAAGGTGGAACTGGGAAGATGCACGTGTTTGCAGACATATATTTTGAAGAAACAGTATAAGTGATTCTAGTATGGCTCACTTCTTCCATTGAGAACAATGCTTTACTAACCATGAAACACATTTTTTCAAAATATTTCCTAAAAGCCAATTTGTTAAATTAACTTTCTCAGTAAAACTTTATTTCATCAAAAGCAAATATACCAAATAATTCCTTCTAAAACTGGAGAGTAAATTAAAACTTACTGTGCTTCAAAAATAGACTTCTAATCCAGGCATGGTAGCTTATGCCTGTAATCACAGCATTTTGGAAGGCTGACTTGGGTGTATTGCTTGAGCCCAGGAGTTTGAATCCAGCCTGGCCAACACAGCAAAACCCCTTCTCCAAAAAAGAAAATATATGTATTTCAATTTTTAAAAAAACTTGTAAAATTTAGACTACGCTGGAAGAAAAAGCAGGACTTTTACTTGTTTGAACATGGGTAAGCTTAAAAACTACTTTTGAATTGCATACTGAAACAGTAGAATCTTTTGAAATCAGAAAAGCCAGGGACTCTAGCCAAAAAAGGATGGCTTTTTACTTAGGACTGAATACAAACATTAAGTGATGACACCATAGAGGTCAAAGCTCAGGGCTTTAGACACAGGTAGAGTCCAGTTCTTGCCGAAACACAATTGGATCTCAATTATTGTTATACATGAGAGAGGAAAGTCACATTATTATGAGTATAAACTGCCATTTTTGATTAAAGTAGAAGTTACTGACAAATTAGCTTAAAAACTAGTACTTTAGAGACAAAACTAAGCTTGTAACTTCGTCATTTTTATAGACTGGAAAGTCAAGTTAGGGATAAGGAGATTAACATTCTGAGGTACCACTTGTCAAACTGTTTTCTGATAATCAACACTCATAATCGAAGGAGCTGTTAATAATGTTTCCTGGGCATCTCCATTGGAGCTGGCTTTTTAAACCAACTTGAACCCATCTTTTAAGGGTGTTTTGAAAGGGCATCTCTGATTGTGGCCTATGAAGTGCTGGTGCATGATGGGAAAATTTAAATGCAGATACACTATGGTGCCACTGGAGGACAAGCTGTTCCTTCTTCCAAGAGTAGTTTCCAAAGTAGTGCCCATCGTCTTAGGCCTATGGCCCATAAAGAACTAATAATTTTTCCTAGAAACATCCAATAAAAAGCACCTCTCCTGTCCATTAGGTTCAATATTGTCATATCATAAATGCATCAAATACATAGCCATGCTTTTTCTGGGATTGCTTATTTGCTAACTGGCTTTCCCTTTTACCACACAGTGTCTAAGATTAGAAGAGAAAAAGAAAATTCATATTTAGGTCCTGAAAAATCCATATATCATTGACATCAACTTCTTCAACTGCTTGCTGAAAAGAGCAACCAAATGGCTGAAATAACAGCGGATGGCTGGGATGCTTTTAGCATACGGGGATCTGTCACTCAGCCCTTGGCAGCCTCGTTGTACTCACCTTTCTAATATGTGCCTGAGATCAGGCTCGCTGACTGTGCTGTTATCTAGCAATATGGTGGAACATGAGCTGTATTTTCTATCAAGATGTCATGGAGGTATCTGAAGAAGAAGGAAGATGGAGAAAAATATCACAGTAGGCTGAACTTACAAAAGTGTGGGTTTTTTCCCTTTGCCAAAATGTCAGACAATAAAGCATTAAGGTATTTTTTATACCCTGTGACCTGCCTGAGTGTGGTAAACTCATTGGAGGCTCTTAACTTTCACAGATGATGTTTGAGAAATG